CCACCAATTCATATCCACTCAGAACCTCAGCATGTGACTTTATTTAGACATAGGGTATTTGCAGATGTAATTAGTTAATATAAGGTCATACTGGATTAGCTTGGTGACACCAGTCACCTAATCCAATGACTGGTGTCCTTATAAGAAGAGGGAAATTTGGACACAGACAGAGAAACATAGGAGAGAAGGTCACGTGACAATGGAAGCAGAGATTAAAGTGATGCATCCGCAAGCCGAGGAAAGCCAGCAACCACCAGAAGCTAGGAAAAGGCAAGAAAGAGCCCTTCCCTAGTGTCTTTGGAGAGAGCATGGCCTGCTGACTGTGCAGAGAGCAGTCTGCTTGATTTTGAGCTTCTAGACTCCAGAACTGTGAGAGAATAAAGTTCTGTTGTTTTGAGCCACCAAGTTAGCAGTATTTTTTATGGCAGCCCTAGGAAACTAATATGTAATCTTTGAGACGTAGAGAACAGATATAAAGCACAGAGCCCACCCAGGAGGAGAGCCCAATAAGAGACCAACCCTCTACAAAGCTTAGACAGTGAAAGGTTAAACCCCCCGTGTAGGGATGAAGTAGAGATACTCTCTGTCTTTTGAGGATTGTGAAGAAAATTGACAGCTTCGAATCTGGGGGCAAAGTGAAGTTGTGTGTGTGTGTGTGCGTGTGTGTGTGTGTGTGTGTGTGAGCGAGAGAGAGAGAGAGAGATGGAGACAGAGACAGAGAGACAGAGAGAGAGATACAGAGGCAGAGACACAGAGACAGAGATGAGAAAGAGATGCTGAAAACTTAGAACAAGAAGTTGGTCTTCACATGGGTTGCAGCTCAAATTCATACAGTTAGGGTGGTCCAAGAAACCTCAGTGGGCATTAAATATATAATGATCTCAGGTTTGTAATTCTGTAGGTGCCTGGTAGAAGCAAACGGAGATTCTCTCTGCAGGTACTCACTTTCTTCTTAGGCCTCAGAGTTTTCCATAAATACAATGCCAAGGCTAACAAGCACCTCTAAGTTAAAAAAGGTAATTAAACAGAAAGATAATGGGAAATCATGGCAGCAAGCCAGCAGTAACCACAGATAGCACGTTTCAAATAATGAAATTATCAAACAGATTATAACATGCCTATGTTCAATATAGTAATAAAAGGCAAGTTTGAAAATATGTGCAGAAACTAAAAAAACTATAATGAATAATCAAGCAGCTTGAGAAGAATTTCCAAATGGAAGTTCTAAAATAAAAGTTTTAATTTAGTAAAAATGCTAATTGAATTTTAATTTTAACTAAATTTAAAACTCAGTATACAGCTTTAAGAGCAGATTATAAACAGTTAAAAACAGAGTTAGTGAACTAAAAGACAAATGTGAATAAATTAACTGAATATTGCCTGGAAGGACATAGAGATGGAAAACATGAAAGAAAGGTTAGGAAATATGGAGGCTTGAATGAGAAGGTCCATCCAGCATGAGTCTGTTGGAGTCCCAGGAGGAGAGATGGAACGGAGCAGAGGCAATATTTGAAGAGATAATGGCTGTGAAATTTCTAAACTGATGAAAGAGAAATCATATAGTGAAGAAGCTCTGTGAACCTCAGCCAGAAAAAATAAATACACCACACCTAGATACACCGCATCGAAACATCAGAACACCAAAGTCAGGGAGAGAAGTCCTAAATGCAGCTGGAGAGGAAATTACCTCAAGGAAGTGGCAGACAGAGAGGTGGCTTCTCATAGCAACAAGGGAATTCAGAGGAAGACACTGGGTGACGATGGAAATGAACTACCTGACCTAGAATTCTATATCCAGTGAAAACATCTTTCAGGAGATAGGGCAACATAAAGACATTTTTAGACAAACTGAGAGTTTACCTCCCAAAGCTTTCAATAAGGAAAATTCTGAAGAATGTACTTCAGGCAAAAGGAGTCTTTTAAGACATTTATTTATTATTTTGAGGGAAGTTTTAACATTTTCATTTTATATACAAAGAGCTTGCATTGTTTCTGCATAGGGTAGATGACCCGATGACACATTCAAGGAAGTTCACTTAGTCCAGCTTCATTTATGAAGCCGATATCCTTCGCATACTAGCAGAAACACTGGTGGCACATATCGAGGCCGTATTTCCAGATCAGACCAGGCCGGTTTGAGCAGACATGGCAAAAGTGAGAGCCTTGCCGAATTTTCTCCGATGGCTCCGGTAGAGCTGCTGGTGACCCATCTTGCTTTCTTGGCTGCCACGAAGCAAAAAGCTAGACATTTAGATTTCAGAGATTGTTATTATTTCCTCGTAACAATCCCTTAAAAAAAAAGATTCAAGTCCGATTCATTGTCATAATAGTTTTCCTCATTGGTAGAAATCTGTTTTCCAAAAGGTATAACTATTTGTAAGCATTCTTTCTTAAACCAAAAGAAGGACATTTTAACTGTCCTTTCCTTTAAGGCATAACAGTACTGAAAACCCCATGGCTTTGGATCACTTATATGAACAGAGATGAGAATATACCATTTATTTTTAACACTAGATTATGCTTGTTTGCTGTTGGAAATGATCCAGAAGAGAAGAACTTGATGATTCCAGAAAGGAGTTTAATTTAAAGCAAGGAACTTGAGTTGGCAATGAGAAAAGTGGGAGGATCGGGCTTCCCTGCTGGCGCAGTGGTTAAGAATCCGCCTGCCGACGCAGGGGACACGTGTTTGAGCCCTGGTCTGGGAAGATTCCATGAGCCGCGGAGCCACAACTACTGAGTCCACGCTCCTATAGCCCGTGCTCTGCAACAAGAGAAGCCACCACAATGAGAAGGCTGTGCACCGCAACTGAAGCGTAGCCTTCACTAGCCGCAACTAGAGAAAAGCCCGCACGCAGCAACGAAGACCAAATGCAGCCAAAAATAAATACATAAAATAAACAAATTTATTTTTTTAAAAGTGAATGTTAAAAAAAGAAGTGGGAGGATCAATGGATTGGAGATCTGTGTTGCGTTTATAACATGGACCCCCAGTTCTTTGACACTCATCCCATTAAGAGGTGGGTCTATGACTGCTCTCTTGAATCTGGATGGGATCATGACTGCTTTGACCAATAGGAAGCCATATGACTTCCAAGGCCAAATCAGAAAAGGCCATGCAGCTGACCCCTGGCCCTCCTAGTACAGTCACTCTGGGAGAAGCTAGCCATTACGTAAGAAGTCCAAGTATCCTGAGACTTCCATGCTGGAGAGGTCAGGTGTAGGTGCTGGTTGACAGCCCCAGCTGAGCTCCCAGTCAACAGTACCAACTGTCAACTTTGCAAGTGAGCCATCTTCGACATCTAGCCCAGCTTACCTCCAGCTGTAACCCAAGTGCATGAGAAACCCCAGACAAGAGCTTCCCATTGGAGTCCTTCCCAAATGTATGACCCCCAAACTGTAAGCAGAGTAAAGTGGTTGTCTTCATTCTCTAAATTTGGTGGTGATTTGCTACACAGCAATAGTATCTGGAATAAGTTTCTTTATTTTTTTCTCCCCTGGCCATGCTGTGCAGCTGGTGGGATCTTAGTTCCCTGATCAGGGATCGAACCTGGGCCCTTGACAGTGAGAGCACAGAGCCCTAACCACCGGACCGCCAGGGAATTCCCTGGAATAAGTTTCTTATGGAGTCAAAGAATTGTGAGTGTCACGGTAATACCATAAGAAAGCGAGAAAAACAGGAGGCAATCATCAGAGAACTGGAGGCTTAAAGTCAAGAATCAGGAGGTGGTGAAGTTACTGGTTTTGACAGTATTCCCAACAAGGTGTGGCTCTTAAGCTTTTCTTGCTTTTAAAAAATATTTATTTATTTTGGCTGCGCCTGGCCTTAGCTGCAGCATGCAGGATCTTCACTGCAGCATGTGAACTCTTTAGTTATGGCATGAGGGATCTAGTTCCCTGACCAGGGATTGAACCCCAGCCCCCTGCACTGGGTGCACAGAGTCTTACCCACTGGACCACCAGGGAAGTCCCTCTTAAGCTTTTCATTTTTCAGTTTTAGCTATTGGCATTTTTATTTTGTTTGTGATTTCGGTGCTGTGTGAGTAGAGTAAAAGATAGAAGGTTTGCATTTATTTATTTTCTAATCTATGAGAAAATTGTCAGAAAGTATCCTCTGACATTTTAGGATTCATCTGTCACGAGGATTGCTGAGAGTGTGTTGCTATTTCAGTTTTCCCACGTAAGTCCATTCGATTTTGTGTTTTGTACTAGGTGTACCATTAGTGGATCATAGACCATCAGACCTGATCAGGAGTCAAGGGTGTTGGATGGGTCACTTATGTGGATGTCCAAGTTAATCGGTTTGATGACAAGACTCGGGATAGAAAGGAAATCTGGGAAGTTTGGGTCACAACGCTTTGTGAGTCCAGCCCGGATCGGCACTCCTTGGGCAGCTGCCTCTGCCCAGCACTGATCAGCACCCGTCGGGGAAACAGCTCCTCCAGTCCCAGTCAGCACGTTTTAGGGAGAAATCTCCGTGGGCCCAATCAGCACCCTTTGTGGGACAGCTCCGACCAGCCCTGGTCAGCACCCAGACGTGGACAGCTCCTCCAGCTGCCCAGTCTCAGTCTGACTCACTCAGAGCCAGGCTTGGGACCCCAGCTCTTCTGATTCCTTGGGACGCCAGCACAGCTCCTGGGGCTGCACCCACCACTCCACCAGGCCCCGTCCCATCCACCCCACACCCCAAAGTCAGTTAACCAGAGGTGTGCGGACCGACTTCCCCACAGCAAGTTCCTCATTTAAACTCTCACCATACGAACTGATCCCCCATCCCCACTAATCCGCTTCTCACCTGCCCCCACCCCGAAAAAACCAAACCGCAACCCGATTCTCCCCCAACCCGAGCCTCTTAGTCAAACCATCTTGTCTCCTCCAACCAGCTTCCCCGCAGTCCCCTTCGCCCTCCTCCCGGGTCCGCCCTCCTCCCCTCCCCCCCGGATCCTCCCTCCTCCCAGGTCCTCCCCTCCTCCCCTCCCCCCCGGCTCGCGCTGCCGCGGTGTCCTGGCGTCGAGGTGTGCTGGCGGCGGGGTGTCGCAGGGCGTGTCACGAGGTGACTTGGGGCGGGCTGAGGGCGGGCGGGAGGGAGCGACGAAGGGCGTGCGGGGCTGTCGCTCCGGGCACCCCTCCCCCGCCGCAGTCGGCGGACCTTTCCCCGGAGAAGATGGCGGATCGGGCGGAGATGTTTTCTCTTTCCACCTTTCACTCGCTGTCGCCGCCAGGCTGCAGGTACGCACTTGGGCGCCCCGGGCCTCGGCAAGCCCTTCCCTTCGTACAGCACCCCCTCTGACCCAGTCCCCAGACTTCTCCGACCCGACCCTGCCAACCCCCCCTCGTCGCTTTTGGGGGCCCAAGCCCCAGACCCCCCCTCTGGTCCTGAGGCCCGTGGTTCCGGCTCCTCGCCCCCCGCCCCTCGGTTCCGGGTCTCTCCATTTTTGTCCTCCCCTGATGCCCGTCCTCCAGCCCCAGTGACCGCCCCCAACCCCAAAGTCCTGCTGGGATCCAGGGCTGCACCCAGCCTGAACAGCCGCCCCCCTCTAAGGTGGAGGTCCTCCAAGGTGGAGGTCCTCAGGGGTCGTGGGCGGAGCCTCTGAGGGGTGGGCTGCCTGCCTGCGCAGGATGCTGAGTACACACTCTGGGCTTGGCAGTGTCCTTTTGGCCTTGTTGGGCCTCTGGTGGAAGCCCGGCCTGGTCTGTAGGGCTCTGGGAGGGAGAGAGCTGAAATCAAGCCTGGGGCCTGGGGGAAGGGACTAGGGAGGGGAGAGGGCTGGACCTCTGGGTGTAGGCCTGCCTTCCGCAGGAGTGGGGGACAAACTGGCCAGATTCTGCTCCCGGAACAGCCTTCACCCCTCCCCCTCCTCCTGCTGCTGCAGCTTCAGCTCCCCCTCCCCCTTCTCCGCTCAGCCTGACTCCCCTGAGGCTGAGCCTGTGACCCAGGGGCCTGGAGCTGAGGGTAGAGGGGGGAGAGGCTGCTGGCTCTTTGCGGAAGGAGGGCCAGGAGGAGGGTTTGGGGGACAGGTGCCTCTTCTGAGCTGGTCGTGGCTCAAATTGAGGGGGAAATCCGCTGGAGAGCAGAGTTTGAGATCCAAGATAATGGCAGGATGCAGGTCTGGGAGTTGGGGGCTCTGGAGATCACGGGGCCTAGAAGCTGGGGGGGGGTCTCCCTTGGCCCCTCCTTAGGACCAGTTCCTGGCCAGGGAGTCCAGGGTTGGTGGCTCTCTCAGGAGCCCTGTCCTTGCTCTCCTCTCCAGGCCTCCACAGGACATAAGTCTGGAAGAATTTGATGATGAAGATCTGTCTGAGATCACCGATGACTGTGGTCTGGGCCTCAGCTACGACTCGGACCACTGCGAGAAGGTGGGGAAGGGGCTGGGGGCAGAGAACTCTCTCAAGGGAGAGTCTCGCTTAGGTTATGCTTAGCAGTCTCGTGGGGTTTTAGGGTGGGTCTAAGCTCAGCCTTGAAATGAGAAATCCTCTGATTGCCCCTTCTCCCTTGGCCTCTCGACCCGGGGTTTTCCTCGATATATCAGACCTCTCTTTTTCTGACAGAGGTCCACTGAGGACCTTCCCCATCAGTCCTCGCTTGACCCCCACCAGCGGGCTAGCTTGGGGGAGGGGAGATGTGTCTATGCTTTGGTGCCTCTGTGCTCAGCTCACTTCCCAGAAAGATCTAGCCCCTTCCAGCTGCCATCTCACCTCATCTCCTCCTTTGCCCTTTCCCCACCTCTCAGGCCTCCATCTGTCTGCCTCATGTCTCCAGCCCTGAAGTCTCCCCTGCCCATCTGCTCCTCCCCATTTCTTTACGTTTTTGTTTTCATTCAAGAACATTTCTGAGCAACTCCCATGTGGCAAGTGCTGGGGGCTTCCAGGTGCCTGGGAAGAGAGCAGGACAGGTGTGGCTCTTGCCCTCAGGAGCTTATAACCTAGTAGGGGAGAAAGACATGAGAGAGGCAGTGGCTGCCTGAGTGTCAACGGCTGGATTCCAGTGAGGGGACAGAAGGTGCAACGATGGGAACCCACCCAAGACTGAGGCCATCAGGGAGATTTTCCAGTGGAAGTGGCACACAACCGTGCCCTTAAGGAGGACTAGAAGGAACTGGCAGATGACGGGGGTTGGAGGGAATGGAGGAGAGGCATTGCTGGTAAGGGATTGGTGGGTCAGAGGCTCTGAGGTTGGTGAAGCCTGGTGCTGGCTGTCTTTGCTTCATGCATTCATTTGCTATTTACTGCACTCTTACTGCGGGCCCGGTCCTGTTCTCAGTGGGGGGTGGGCTGCACCAGTGTCCAGTATGGACACGGTCCTGTCCTGGTAGGGCTTGCAGCTTGGTGGGGGAGACAGACCCGAAACTCTATCGTAACTATGCGTTGTGTTAAAATGCTATGAAGGAAAAGTGCTGGTGTCGAATGTGACGGGTTTGAGGCTGAGATGAGGCTGGCAGGTGGGTTGGGGCCACTTTGAGTATCTCTGTCACCCAGACTTAGGAGTTTGGGCTCTTACTTACCAAGAACTGTAGCGATCCTTATGTATCTTAAGCAGATTTTTTAAAAAGCTGCTCTGTTGGTGGAGAGCAGAGAGAACTGGAGGGAGGCGTCTGTCCCTTGACTTATAGCTTCCTGCTTTCCCCTTTCCTGGCGCCTGGGACCCAAGTCACCATCCCACACTGGCCCAGCTCTGCCCTGGCCTTCTTCCCTGCAGGACAGCCTTTCCCTGGGGCGTTCGGAGCAGCCGCACCCCATCTGCTCCTTCCAGGATGACTTCCAGGAGTTTGAGATGATCGATGACAATGAAGAGGAGGAGGACGACGAGGAGGAAGAGGAAGAGGAGGAAGCAGAGGGGGAGGTTGAGGGGGGAGGCCCTGGCTCAGCAGCCCGCGCCCGGCAGCCCCTGATCCCCTCGCCCTCCCTGGAGGAGCCCCACAAGCACCGGCCCACCACGCTCCACCTGACGACGCTGGGAGCCCAGGTGAGCCGGCACCCAGACCCGCAGCTATCCGTGGTTCCCAGCATCCGGGACTGGTCCCCGCGGCAGCCTGTCCCCCCACCTACCCCTGAGAGCTGGGGCCCCTCCTCAGCGCTGCTCTCCTCCCCCCGCCCCTCCCCTCCTCCCCAGGACTCCCTGAACAACAATGGAGGGTTTGCTCCAGGGCCTCCAGCCTCCAGGCAGGAAACAGTGCTGTGCCCACCCGCCCAGGAGCCCCTCAGAGGTGAGCTGGGCGGTGGTGGGCGGGGTTACGCCGGAGGCGAGGGAGGGAGGGGTGGGGGAGGTGGGCTGGCTGACCCAACCCCGTGCTCCGCAGAGCCGCCCGCCCCCCTCCCGCCCACGGACAGAAGCCCCTGCGGGGCGCAGTCACCTGTGCATCCGGGTTGCGACTCCGAAGGCAACCAGCCCGCAAGGCCCCTGGCGCCAGGTGGGGCCTCGCCCTCCTCGGATCCGGGCATCGAGGCCGACCTGGGGAGCGGCTCCAGTGGAGGCCGCGGGGGTCGGCGCAGCAGCCAGGAGCTGTCGTCGCCGGGCTCCGACTCTGAGGACGCGGGCGGCGCGCGCCTGGGGCGCATGATTTCCTCCATCTCAGAGACAGAGCTGGAGCGGAGCAGCGACGACGGCGGCAGCAGCAGCGGCCGCTCCTCGCACCTCACCAACTCCATCGAGGAGGCCTCGTCGCCGGCCTCGGAGCCCGAGCCCGAGCCGCCGTGCGAGCCCCCGCGCCGCCCCGCCTTCCTGCCCGTGGGCCCCGACGACACCAACAGCGAGTACGAGTCAGGGTCCGAGTCTGAGCCGGACCTCAGCGAGGACGCCGACTCGCCCTGGCTGCTCAGCAACCTCGTGAGCCGCATGATCTCCGAGGGCTCCTCGCCCATCCGCTGCCCTGGCCAGTGCCTGTCTCCTGCGCCGCGTCCTGCCGGGGAGTGTGCGTCGCCCGTCGGCGAGGCCCCCGAGGCGGCGGCGGGGCCGGGCGTGGAGCTGGTGGACATGGAGACGCTGTGTGGGCCGCCGCCCCCCGAGCCCTCCGCCCCTCGGCCCGGCCCCGCGCAGCCCGGGCCCTGCCTCTTCCTCAGCAACCCCACGCGCGACACCATCACGCCCCTGTGGGCCGCTCCGGGTCGCCCTGCCCGCCCGGGCCGCGCCTGCTCTGCCGCCTGCTCGGAGGAGGACGACGAGGATGAAGAGGAGGAGGACGAAGCTGAGCCCGAGGCAGCGCCCCTCGGGGGCCGGGGCACGGGCGCCGCGCCGGACGCCTCGCTGGTGTACGATGCGGTCAAGTACACGCTGGTGGTGGACGAGCACACGCAGCTGGAGCTGGTGAGCCTGCGGCGCTGCGCGCGCCTGGGCGAGGACAGCGGGGACAGCGGTGGCGAGGCCAGCGAGGAAGAGGCGGGAGCCGCACTGCTGGGCCTTGATCGGGGCCCCGGGGCTGCCTCCCCGGACAGCCCTGACCTCACCTTCTCTAAGAAGTTCCTCAATGTCTTTGTCAACAGCACCTCCCGATCTTCCAGTGAGTGGGAGGTGGGGAAAGGGGGCGGTCCCGGGGGAGCAGGCTGGCTCCTTGGCCCCAGGGCTTCCCCCAGGCCCCTGTAGGGTAGGGTGGGGAGTTGCCTGGGGAAGGCTGCTCTGTCTCCAGCCCCCGGTGAGCTACTTCTCCCTCCCTCGGTGACTGAGGACAACCCACACCAGACTGTTGAGGGGAGGGGAGCTCGGCTTCCTGCCCCTCCCCTGAGCCTTTGTCTCTTTTGTTTCTGTCTCTCAGGCACCGAGTCTTTCGGCCTTTTTTCCTGCCTGGTCAATGGCGAGGAGAGAGAGCAAACCCATCGGGCTGTCTTCAGGTACAGCTTCTCCCCCTCGCTGCTAGCGACACTCCACCTGAGCCTACAGACACTATGGGACACTGGTGGACACAACCCAACCGTTCCTGCCCCTGCCCCAGTGACCTCCTACCTCTGACCTGACCTCAGGTTCATTCCCCGCCATCCCGACGAGCTTGAGCTGGATGTGGACGACCCGGTCCTGGTGGAGGCCGAGGAGGACGACTTCTGGTTCCGTGGCTTCAACATGCGCACGGGGGAGCGTGGCGTCTTCCCCGCCTTCTATGCCCACGCGGTGCCCGGCCCGGCCAAGGACCTGCTGGGTGAGGCCCCTTCCCCAAGGGGCGTCTTGTCATCCCAGGCCCTCTCTTGCTCACCTGACCTAGGCCCCTGTGATCTCCCAGGGAGCAAGCGGGGTCCCTGCTGGGTGGAGCGCTTTGACGTGCAGTTCCTGGGCTCCGTGGAGGTGCCCTGTCACCAGGGCAATGGCATCCTGTGTGCAGCCATGCAGAAGGTCAGTCTGGAGGTGGGGGCCCCTGAGCCCTGCAGGCTGGCACAGCCCTTGGAGGCCCCAGGCCTCCGCCCTCTTCCACGGAGGGTTCCAGGATGCTTGGGGGCCTCGGGGCCCGGGCCCCCCCAGCCCCGATTCAGAGGCCTGGCAGACAGGCCTCGGGCAGCGCTCAGCAGCTCTTCCCCGTCACCTTCCCGCCGGCCCCTCCCCCTCCTTCAGCCCATCCTATTCGTGTCTGAAAAGCAAGACCAGCTCTCACAGACCCTTCCCTGGAAGTTATTTGCACACTCGTTATTCACTCAGTGGACACTCGGTGAGGGCCGGCCCGTCTGCTGGGCCTGCAGGCGAGCGGGGGGGCAGCAGGGCAGCAGCACGGCTCTGCGCCTGAGAGCCCGCGTCCAGCGCACGAGACGGGCAGTGAACAGGCCGGGGTTGCTGGGGCCGCAGTCCTGGGGAGGGGCGGAAGGCAGACGAGGCAGGCCGTCCTGAGGCTGAGGAGAGGCCAAGGCCACGCTCACATCTTCCCGAATCGCTGCCAGCAGTCTTCAAACCTAATCGACAGCGTCCCGCCAGGAGGGAGAGATACCCTCGTAGGCCCTGGAGACCCTTTTCTCCCCTCACTTCTTCTGCAGATCGCCACTGCCCGGAAACTGACCGTCCACCTGCGTCCTCCTGCCTCCTGTGACCTTGAGATTTCTCTTCGGGGGGTCAAGCTGAGTCTAAGTGGAGGACCTGAGGTGGGGTGTGGGGGCCTGAGGCACAGGGGACGGTGGGAGGGGTGAGGCGCGTCCAGCAGGGGTGGCCGGGGTGGCCCTGGGCTGCTCTGTCTAGCGTGGCCTCTCCTGCCACCTCTGCTCTAGTTCCAGCACTGCAGCCATTTCTTCCAGATGAAGAACATCTCGTTCTGCGGCTGCCACCCCCGCAACAGCTGGTACGAGACTCCCCCATCCCCTGGTCCCCTCAAACCCTGAGGGCTGCGCATTCACCATCCCACCCTCTCACCCGCACCCACTTGGCTCCAGGAGTTGAGTCCCCACATGGCGCCCACTCTGTTCTGGGCCCAGGACACCTGGATCAGACAGGCTCCCATCTGGTCTGGGTGGGGAGACAGACACACAGACAAGCGAGTGCTCGAAGCACTCGTGGGACTCTGGTGGACGTGTGCATGGGGCTGCAGTGAGCAGACCTGCAGGGAGGTGGGTGAATTCTCCTGGGACTTAGTGGGGCGGCTGAAGACCACTCTACAAACCTTGAAAGGCAAGTGGGTGACAGGGTGGATCTTCTTGGCAGGGAGCCAGCTGAGCCAGGGCTGTGGGCAAGGGGCACTAGGGGCTCTTTGGGGGCAGTTGGGTAAGGCTGGAGGGACACTAAGAGCACCTGTGTCCTTTTGACTATGCCAAGGAGCTTATACTTAATCCCATTGGCGATGGGGTCGTGGGGTGACACAGTCAGGTTGACAGGCTGCTGTGCAGGGTGGAAGGACCCAAGTGCTGCTGGCAGGAGACCAGGTGGCTGCCGAGGTTATCCAGGTGCTGTGACCTAGTGGCATTTAGGAGGTGGGCAGGCAGGACCTGAGTTGATTGGATGTAGAGGCTGACCTCGAGAGAGAATCAAGGGTGACCTGGGTGTTGAGCAGTTAGTGACCCACGCGCCAGGAGAAGAGGCCTGGAGTGAGTGGGCCTCACAGGCTGGCGATGCAGGGTTCAATCCAGAGGCAGTGAGGGTGAAGCGGCCGTTGCTACGTGGTCTGGAGTGTGGAAGGGAGACCTGGGGGGAGGTACGTTCGGAGCCGGTAGGTAACTTCGGCCATGGGGCAGACAGGATAGCCAGGCAGAGAGAGAGAAGAGACGGGAGTGAAAGGGAAGCGTAACCAGCGGATGGAGGGCTACAGCCTTCCTGCCCAGCCGGCCTCCTGCGCACAGGATGCCAGTGCCCTAGATGAAGCGACAGGAGGAGCTAACCTGCGACGCAGACAGGGCCAAGCAGAGGCTCCGAAGGGCCCAGTGGTATTTGAGGAAGCAGGTCCTCAGGGGAGGCAGGATGTGGGGAGGACACACTGCTGCTGGGGCTGAGGCTGTGACAGATACTGAGGCCGGCACGTGTGTCTCCTGGACACTTGTGGTAAGAGTGAGGGGCGCTCTGTCTGCTGGCTGGGCGATGGTGTCCACCCTCAGCCGGGTCAGAGCCCAGTTTGGTTTCTCCCTTGAGAGGGAGGTGGTTTGATGGGATCACAGTTTAGATGCTGCTCTGAGGGGTGGAGGGCCAGGGCTCAGAACAGGCGGCGGGGCAGACCTGGCACCATGAGGACCAGTGTGCACGGTGGCCCACACGGACACTGGGCTGAGGGTGGCACACCCGAGAGAGGAAGGACAGCAGAGGGAAACTGGGTGCCACAGGCTCAGGCGTCCAGGCCAGACGCTGACCCAGATGCAGTTCCATGGCCAGGAGGAGACCAAGGCGGTTCTGTCCTGGCCCAGACTTTCCTGGTACATGTTACTGCAGAACTCAGCCCAGTCCGCACAGTGAGGGGCCACAAGGAGCCAATGTCAGGCATCTCGCTGTGAAGCGGGCTGGATTAGGCACGTGCTGGGCACACTGTGTCCGGATAAGGTGGGAGCGTGTGGCGTGTGAGATCACAGGTGGCTGAGAGCACCCCCAGGGCGCCACAGACCGGCTGCGTTTCCGACGCCCTCATCTAGAGGCCCAGCGCGCAGGGCCGTTGTGAGGTTTATGGGAGCTAATGACATAAAGAGCTTTGCTGAGGACGGTGCCTGGCACTCCCCGTGAATGGGATCATCTGAGCGTGGCATTCAAGACAAGGCTGTGACGTGTTCGTGGCCAACGTGAGCACGTTGTCCCAGCGATGATGCTGCCGTGTGGATTCCCATCTGGTGGAACCGCAAAACCCTAATCCCACCTGATGTGGGCTGCGTTAGCCACAGTGGGGGGGTGGGTCTCAGCCCTCCTGCTGCAGGATTCTGGCAGTGCCTCCCTCTGGACAACAATTTTTATTAATGTCTTGATGAGAAGAAGGGCAGATTCAGGAAAGGCATACGTGGAACAGAGCTGGGGCGACAGAGCCAGGGTACAAGCTTCTTCAGAAAGACTGTTTCACATGTCAGGGCCCATGCCAAGCCCCACATCAGAGCCCGGAAAACAGCTGTGGGTTTGCAGGACCAGAGGTGGGACTGGGCAGGCTCAGGGTGTCAGGTGACATGACAAGGAAGAGTCAGCTGAGATGTGGTGCCCAGAAGACGGGGAGGCCTTGCTCTGTGGTCCAGGGGCAGGCTTGGGGGGGGGGGGGGCGCACAGAGGCAGCTGGCACTGTCTTGGGAGAAGGAAGATGCAGTGGGACACCCTTGTGGACAGATGAGCATAGATCGCTAACTCCTCACAGATGCCCAGCGCTGTGCTTTGACGAGGACCCAGAAAGGGGCCTCGAATCTTGAAATCGTGTGACCCGCACATTCCCCAGCCCCACACGCCCTCCCTGAGCCCTCTGTCCCTGGCTCTTCTCCTCGATCCCTGGGGGCTGAGGGGTGGACCTGGGGACGTCCCGTGTGCTCACCGCTGCTCTCCCCACAGCTATTTTGGCTTCATCACCAAACACCCGCTGCTGAGCCGTTTTGCCTGCCACGTTTTCGTCTCCCAGGAGTCGATGAGGCCCGTGGCCCAGAGTGTGGGGTGAGTGAGTCCGGAGGGTGGGTTGCAGGATTAGGGCTGGGCCAGCGTGGAGTGACGGCTGGGACTGGAGTGGGGATGCAGAACTGGTGCAGCGGTTCCCCGGGGGGGGGGGGGGGGGGGGGGGGGGGGGGGGGGGGGGG